AAACTCATTATAAAGGTTCTTCTCAACAATGAGAAGCACATACAGGAGTTCAAGGAATTTAAAGAATATATCACACAAAAATAGCAACACTGAAACAAAATCAAGCTGAATTATTGGAAATGAAGGGCACAACAGAGCAAATTAAAAATACAGTGGAAAGTATCAATAATTGAATGAATGTGGCAAAAGAAAGAATCTCAGAAATGGAAGATATTTATTGTCCCCATGGAGAAACAATCAAAAGGCTGGAACCTGAGTTGGGTCAAGCTAAAAACATTATTTAGGAATTAAGAGACACAATTAAATGGCCAAATATAAGAGTTAAGGGAGTTACAGAAGGAGCAGAAAGAGAAGCTGGATTTAAAGATGTATTCAATGAAATAATAAATGAAAACTTCTCTAATCTGGAGAAAGAATTGGAAAACAATGCAGGAGGAACACAGAACTCCCATTAGGATTTAGCAAAAGCAATCTTCACCACAGCACATGATAATCAAGCTCTCTTCAGTTGAACATAAGGAAAAGATCCTTAAGTGTGCATATGAAAAAAAATCAATTGACATACAGAGGAACCCAAATCAGACTCACAGCTGAATTCTCACAGGAAACTCTGGAGGCCAGAAGAGATTGGAGAGATATATTACAGATTCTAAAAAGAAAAAAATTGTCAGCCCAGAATAACATACACAGTAAAGCTTTCCTTTGTTTTTGAAAAGGAAATAAAATTCTTCCACAGTAAAGAAAAACTCAAAGAATATGCCTCTTCCAGACCTGCTCTACAAATGATACTTAAAGATGTTCTCTTGACAGAGAAAAGTAATAGCACTCATCAAAACCAAAGGCAAATGTGAGGAACATCCCATTAAAATGACAACCGAAGACTAAATCAAACACTGAACAACCCATTGCTAAAATGACAGGACCACATTACCACCTATTCATATTATCCCTGAAGGTAAATGACCAAAAGTCATAGACTAGTAGACTGAATTTAAAAAAAATCTCTGTTACCTATAGGAGACATATATATCACCAGCAAAGATCCATAGAAACTATAATTCATGAAGTACAATGTTTTTGTTTTTATTTTCACGTCTTCAAAGTAGTTTTTTTCTCATATTACATTCTTCATTGACTCATACATCAGACAGTTGCATCATTTCCTTCAAAAAGGTTTTTGATTTTTCTTTTCATTCCTTAAGCAACGCATTAGTCTTTCAGTAGTAGCATGTTATTTAGCTTCATGGCATTGTAAATTTCTATTTTCCTTCCTGTTTTTGATTTTGTTTTACGACTTTTCATTGAAGGGGATGTATACTAACTGTGTATCAAAGACTATCATATTGAAATATAAGGATACAGTGCAGTGTGCTTTTCTACTTTCAGATCAAAGATGGACTCCCAATGAAACGTAAGTATATCTTGACAATAGGATCCTGGACTCTCTACTATTGTCCATGCCCGCAATAATGGACTTACACCTGTTTGTAAAGAACTATGCTACTGTGATAAAATGGGATAAATCAGTCGGGGAACAGAGATTTGGGGAAGGGTAGGGAAATCCCAGAGCCTATGGTTCTATATAATTTAATAATAATAATAGTAAGAATAATAATAATAATAATAATAATAATATAAGTATGTGACAGTCCCTAGGACTTACCAATAATAAATCTTGGGAAAGCTTGTGGGAAACTTTCTTCTGACTACATGAATTCTTAAAGCAATCAAAGGAGGCAAATAAAAGGATCTGTGTTGTATAAATGAGAATTTTGTGAAAAGATGAAACATGTAAGTTAAAGTCAAGACCATAAAGCTCTGAATTCTGAAAAAGAGTCTGGAATTTCACTGTTCTATTCAGAGGTCAGGTAAGCTCAGTACACAATTGAAAATCTGGTGTTTCTGTTTTTATCTGGAATTTGAAATGCACAGTGAAGCCTGTCACCTATATAAGTTAAAATAGTGAGCATGGGCCCAAATTTGATTACATTCAATAAGCAGTTCTTATTATCATGTACTGGAGGACTTCAAAAAGTACATGGAAAAAATAAAATTAACTAAATAAAAAGACAGAAAAAGAAAGAAGCTTCAGGATCCTGGCTTTGGACCAATTCAACTCTGATACTTGGAATCATTAGAGGAATGAATCAGTAGATGGACAATCTCTCTCTCTCCTTCTCTCTTTGTAAAACTATGCTTCAAACATAAATAAAGTTTCCAACTAACTAAAGTTAGATTGACCTACATCTAGATTTCACTAACTACACCAGCTCACATGGATTTGGGGAGAAACGTACCCTCTTTCACTGTTGATGTGAGTGTACGCTAGTACAACTACTATGGAAATCAGTATTAGAAATGCTAAGAGAACTGAAAATTAACTTTTCATATAACCAGCTATCCCACCGTTGGGAATATATCCAAAGGAAATGAGATCTGCATAGAAAAAAGAGATTTATAATTCTATATTCACAGCAGCACAATCTACAACAAAGACATGCAAGCAACCCAGATGCCAGACCAAAGAGCAGCAAATAAAGAAACAATGATACAACTACTCCATGGAATACTACTCAGCCATTACAAAGAATGAAATTATACCATTTGCAACCAAATGGCCCCAACTAGAGATCATTATACTCAGTGAAACTACTCAATCCCAAAAGGACAAATTTCATATGTTCTCTCTGATACAAGGCAACCTTCATGCAAAATACAAGATCAACAGCCCTTTCAATTTCATTTTTGTTACATCTCAGGAGGTTTGATATTCTTGTTTTTATTTACATTCATTCAAAACAAAAATTTTTGCTTTTCTTATTAATTTCCTCACTGACTCACAGATCACACAAAAACATCATTTGCTTCAGGAAGGTCTTTGATTTTCTTTTTCATCTCTTCAGCAACACATTAGTCATTCAGCAGCATGTTATTTAAGTTCATGGCATTGTAAATTTTCTTTTTCTCTGTTATTGATTTTCCGTTATGACTTTTATTTATGGGGATGTATAATAACTGTATAGTAGAGACTATCACATCCAGACATGACGATACAATGCAGTGCACATCTCTACTTACAAATCAAAGATGGACTGCCAATGAAACTGCTGAATGTAGCTTGACAATAGGATGCTGGACTGTTTACCAATGTCCAAGCCTACAATGTCAGGAGACACTTAAAATAGCAGAATGATGGACTTACGACTGTGAAGGACTATACTATTGTGATAACAAGTGGGAAATTAGTAGGTGATAGTGAGGGATTAGTGAGGGGGAAAGGAAATCCTGGAGCCTAATGATCTGTAACATAGAATAAAATTCATTAATTAATAAAAAGCTCTCAGCACTCAGCAAGCCCTAACACACTAATATCCATCAGGAGTGACAGATTCTGAAGCACGAAAGTTATGTTAAAAAAAACATTCATTACACATTTCGTAAGGAACCACTTCACCAAGAAGACACATCTTAATTCACCCAAAAAACGGTAACAGGAATTCCTCTATGTCACAGAGATAAACAATCACATTCTAATCCCTTCAGAGGCCCCAGACACTCCTCAACTGGTTTTCCTCCAATAAAGGATAAAGCAATTAATATAAAAGAATAGGGATAATGTGAAATACACCTTTTGAAAGATAAACTAAATGTCTAAAATCTGAAGAGATGGAGGCTTAGACAGTAAATAAAGAGACACAAATTCACTTCAGCAGAAAGAGGCTTTCTGATGGCACTGGTAGGTAGCAAGTTTGTCCAGTGTGCTCCATATTAAACTGGCCACAAGTGACTAACTGAATACTGTAACATGTATCACATGAATAAAATTAAAAGTCTACTATTAAGATTGAGCTTTTCCTAGGAATGCAATAATTTTACAAGTCAATAATAAAAGTTAATGAGAAAACATGACTCAATTTACAAGGCAATTACCACATAAGTGTCATAAAAGTAGACAGTAAAACCGTGAAGACCAGTATAAATCAAATTTAACTGACAATCCAGTATTAAGTAATATTAGCAATAATACATTATCTGTGAATGAGGTTTAACAAAGCTATTGTTTATGCTTGTTACAAGAACAAAGGGCATTGTCAATATGTGCTTTAGATAACCTGATTATTTTCTATAAAATAAGTCAGTATCAAATTATGGTTATAGCAAACATTTCTTTTAAAGCACATCACACTACATATCAGAATATGAATATATATATATAAACACAGTATCTCTTAAAACTAGCTGATGCCAATCTTTCTGTTTTGGCAATAATCAGAGCTTAGGTGTAAAATCATGTTTGAAAGGACCTGTGCTGTAAAGATGAAAATGATTTCCACATTTACTTTCAGTTCTTCATATAAAATACATTAAAAAGCTACCATTTGAAAAAATTTTCATTTTGAGATGCGTTTAGAACAAAGACAAGGATTGTAAATCTATTAATCAAATGCTTAATTTGAACTCTGATTTAGTTTTTGCTAGTAAATAAAGCGTTTTTAGTTAGTTTTTTTTTTTTTTTTTGACAAACTTTTGGGAAGCAGATTTAAGCAGAAGTCCAAGAAATGTCTAATAATACCAACAAGAAGAAGCTTTAAAAAAAAGCTTACAGAGAAATTCTAAGCAGCAAAACTCAATTGTGTCAGAATTTTTTTTCCAGGTCAGCCATGTCTTATCACTGCACATGCAAGTACACGCTGGCAGGAAATCTCTCCTTGAAGATTCTCAACTAGAAATGAAGATAGTCAAGGCTTTGTCCTACTGCACACAGAAACCAGCACCTTGTGCCCATGGATCAATTACACTGCCCTTCCGACCTAGCCATCCTATTACCACTAGTGTCATCTTGTGCCAGGTCAATCTTCAAGGTCAGACCCAAAATGGGTCTGTGTGACCCACTGTGTAGAAGACGGAAAAATTATAAGGTAAAGAGAATGGAAGAGACAGGGACACAAAAAAAAGTGTGGGGAAAACACCAACATAATATAGTAATTTAAAATGCGTACCTTTATTCTTTGGTCATCAACATCTATAATTGAAGCAACACGAATCAATCTAGGGTTCCGTTTATCCACTACTTCAAGTCTCATATTTGGCAGAAAACCATGAGGTGACCTCTGTAATATTAAAACAAATCACAAAAGCCATCAGTTCAAACACTCTGTTAAATTTTTCTCAAATATCATTCTACCTTTAACACGAGGTTTTTCTTTTTTTAAGCTTTATTTATAGACGGACAATGTGACATAGCAAGTAAAGTTGCCAAATGCAGCACAAGTATCCATTATGGGCAATGATTCAAGTCCCAGTTGCTCCACTTCTGATCCAGCTTCCTGCTAATATGCCTGGGAAAAGCAGCAGCAGATGGTTCAAAGATTTGGGCCCTTGCACCCACATGGGAGATCCAGAAGAAGTTCCTGAATTTGGCTTAGCCTGGACCCTGCTGTTGTGTCCATTTAGGGAATGAAAGACCAAACAGAAGACCTCTTTCTCTGTCTTCCCCTTCTCTCTGTGTGACTCTGTCTTTAAAACAAACATATATTTTCTAAAACACTTAATCATGTATCTGAAAGTTTGAGTGAGAAAGAGAATCAGAGAGAGCTTTTGCTGGCTTACTCCCCAAATGGCCAGATAGAGGTCAGGAGCCTGGAACTCCAGTCAGGCCTCCCATAAGGGTGGCAGGGTTCAAGTGCTTAGACCATTAAGCTGCTTTCCCCAGGGGCATCACCAGGCAGTGGAAGGGAAGTGCAAAAGCCAGGGCTTGAATTGGATCTAACTTCCCAGGCAACACTTAACCTGTTGCATGTCAATGCCAACCCACATGTTGTCTTAAATACAACTGTATTCAGTTTAAAAACAACATAGGACTTTATCCATAATATCTTACTTAATGTTCAAAAACCGGTGAAGGGAGGAACTTCATTTTTTTCCCATTTGAAAGAAGTGCACAAAATCAAAGATCAATTAAGTCAGATCCATTAATGATTACAACAAATGTCAAAAAACATTTTATTATAGTTTATACATTAAGATTTTTTTCCTCTTATTCTGAAATAAGTTTCATAGATAAAAGAACTGTTGTCAATTATGATGACCTGATTTGGGATTGGATTACCTAAAATACATATTATTTAATAAATACTTTTACATGATCCCTTATAAACACAAGCTTTAAAATATGATTAGATAAATGCTTCACAATTCTGACAGTTAAATTACTTTAAAATCATTCCAATGCAATTTAAAGTCACAGCCTGTGCTTTTCAAATTCTGTAATCCTAGAGGGTTGAATTTCATCAAGATTTCTTGCAAATCTTAAAATGCTGGTAACCAACAATTTTTAATGATAACCATAAGAGCAATACTTTAGAAACTAAAGTGGAAAAAAGACACTGGGACTGTCCAAATCATTTAAGTTAAGGAAATTCAAGCATCAAAAATCAAAGTCAAGGGACAACTTCAAGTTTTCATAGGTTGGTGAAAGTTTCACTTAGAATGCGAATACATAACAAAGTGTTGAACTCATCTTACTGAAAAGGATTAAATTCTTCAAGTAAAATCAATGAAAATATGAAAATTCCAAATACTATCTGAAAATAACTGGTATCCAGTATGTTTTTCCTCAGTTGTTGTGGATCACATGCTTTTTCTAGAATGTATTATTATACTTCCTACGTGGTTAGATTGACCTTGAATCTCTGATTTCCAAAAATATTCCTTGTCCCTCCAAATTCAAAATCCTGAACTGCAAAGGTGATTGCTTAGTATTGTACAAGACAGAGATATGTACTTGAGTGGGTTCACAATAACCTTATAGCAGAGCATGGTAGTTGCTCCTTTTCTCAGTTTTTATTCATTTATTTTAATTTTAATTATAAATTAGTTTTAAAGAGATCCGATATGGTTTGTATATAATTAAGAAAATAATTATATACATCTCTTTCCTCTCTCACTTCATAATTCCTTTATCTATCTCTTTGGGGGGATGAGATAATATTTTAAATTGACAGTACAGTTAAAGTCTTATTACTTCACTAAATAAGAAGTTTAATAAGTAAAATGCAGAAAGACTTTAGCGGGAATACAGACAACAATTATAAAGAATAATTAAGTAGAAAAATCGCTATTTCATCTATATATTGTAAGTTTTAAAGGAATTGCAGATCATTAAAACTGTAGCAGTATGTAATATTTTTAACAATTGGTTTGCCAAGAGTGTAAAACAAAGTTTTACCTATCAGTATTTGCCCCCAGCTGTGGCAACTGTCCAGGTTGCCTTGTACCTACGCACGTGATACACTGCTGTGAGAAAAGCAGTCAGTAGCTGGAGAGCATTCTGGGCCTGGGTAATGCCAGATTTGTGTTAACTATACCAGTGTGCCAGCATAGTTGTCTATTCTATTTTTTTTAAGGAAGGTGGGGTATACCAGGCCAACACATACCATCCTGACCTCCAGACCGGCAGGCTGCTGACTGCCCAGAGAAGGGGATCTGAGGATGTACTGGAGTGGGAGTGGAAGAGCACATGTTTGACAGGGAAAGAATAATTCTGGAGTCTTCTAGATGCTGGGCTACTGTACCTGCAAATAGGTAAGGGAGTTGAGATGGAGTGGTTTAGAGGGGGAAATCAGAGAGCATGCCTGGGTCAGGTCAAGGTACTTGCCAATGTGGGAGTCCAGGGATGAGCTAAACAGCACTGCCAGATACTTGCAGACACATACAACCTGGGGCTTGGTAGCATGCCTAGCTGGATTATGCCATAGCACCCACCCACAAGTGTCAGGATAGGGGGTGGGCCACATCAGGTTGGGCCACAGCACCCACTAGAATTGAGAGAACTGCATCTGGATGTAGATTCTGTAGGGAACTTAGGGGTTTGCCTCTGTGGGACACGAATACTCACCACTTTGTGTGAGAGCTGCATTTGGTAACTAGTTGAGCCAGGCTGGACCTCAGAACTCACCTGACAGGAATCCAACTGACACTCATGGGAGCTGGGAGGAAGCCAAGTGGGGCCAGGCTGCAGCACTCACCAGCACATGCCAAAGTTGAAACATTCGGCAGACCATGCCGAAAAGGGCTGCTGCACCTTTCCTACTCCCACCAATGCTTGAAATTGGTGGCCAGGAGCAGGCCTGGTAGGTGAGCTTTGGGAACTCCGTTGGAGAGCAAAAGAGCTGGGGCTGGGGTCGAGCCAGGCTAGGCAAGGCTACAGCACCCATTGGCATTTGTTGGACCAGATCTGGGAGGCAGGCCAGACTGGGCCAGACTGGGCCAGGCCAAAAAAACCACTGGCACCATGAGAGTCAGAACAGGGTACAGTCAGGTTAGGGCACAATATCCACCAGTGAGAGCTGAGACTGCAGGTGGATCACCCACCAGCACACACAAAACCCGAGGCTGGGAATGGACCTAGAGGGGAATTCTGGGGACACCACTACTGGGTTGCAGCTCCCACTGGTGAGTTCAAGAGCCAGGATTGTGGACTTACCAGGCTGATGCTCTCAAGAACCAGAATGGGTGTGAGACAGGCTGAACTAAGCTGTGGTACCCACTGGATCACATGAGAGCACGGTCTAGGGGGTAGAACAGGCTGGGCAATATTGTAGCACCCTCACTGAGAGCCAGAATGGGTGTAAGCCAGACAGGCTAGACCACAGTACCCAACAGTGAGTGCTAGTATTGGGGCCACCAATGTCAGATTGGGCAGTAGCACCAACTGGCACATGCAAGATCCATTGGTAGGGGTGGGCATGATGGGAACTGTAGAATTCCCCTGCTAAGCCGCAGCTACCGCTGGTGAGTGCAAAAGACGGGGCTGAGAGCAGACCAGACCAGGCTAGGCTGCAGCACTCATTGCATATGTGTGAGTCAGGTCTAGGGCAGGCCAAGCAAGATTAATCTACAGCACACACTGGTTGGGCCAGGCTGCTGTATTCACTAGTGAGAGCTGTACTAGGGATAGGGTAGGCTGGCCCGAACTACTGCACCAGTAGTATGAGAGAGAGCCAGAATGGGTGTGGGCCAGCCAGGCTAGTTCGAATCACCAGCTTGCAACTGCCAGGACTGGGTGTTGGTCATGTCAGGCTATATCTGTCAGGCCAGAGTCCAGGGCTGGGAATATCCTGGCAGGGAAAATGCGGGCACTTGTGTGCTAGGTTATACTTATTGCTGGTGAGCATGTGAATCAGGGCTGGAGCGGGTCAGGCTGGACAAGGCAGCAATACCTGACAGCATACTTGTAGGCCGCGTCTGGGGGCAGATCAGGCTGAGTTAAGCCACAGCACAAAGGGGTAGGCACAAGAGCCAAATGAGAATGTAGAACTGGGTCAGGCTAGACAAAGCAGAGGCTAGCATGCACAAAAACCAAGGCTGAGATAGGCCAGGTGGGAGTTTTTGGGAGTCACCTTGACTAGGCCAAGGTACCTGCTGATATATGTGAGGACTGGGTCTGTAATGGACTTGATGGAATGGGCCACAGTACCTGTTGGGTGACACGAGTTGAGTTATGGGGCTGGGGCAAAACAGACCAGGCAGCTTGTATCCACCTGTATGTGCATTTCCTGTTGCAGAAGATAGACCAAACCTAACTTTGCAAAGTCTGGTGTACACAAGAGTGAAGTCTGAGGTTATCCTAGGCAAGGTTTCTTGGGGTTCTCCCAAGCTAGACCACTGGACTCAGACTCTAGCTACCCCAGAAAATCACAGGATGTGTGATCCGACCTTGGAGTACATGCATCAGGACCGGGCCTTCTCAGTTGCTGATGCCTATGCAGTCAAAAGCACCCCCAGGTGTACTCAGAGAGGATGAGAGCCAGCTCATCGAAACCAGCAGGGAATGTCAGTTGCCTAATCAGAGGATGGAAAGCAAAACAGGTTGAGCAGTTCTCCCGGTCAAGCTTTGCAGCATGTTCCTGTGTCTGTGGATACACTAAGGTTGATTTTGTCAAACAATAGACCTTGGAAAGATTTTCTCAACTCTGGAATAATGAAACTGACAACTTCTCAGAACTATCAGAACCACTCAAATGGAACACTTGAACAATTGGAATACTCTTCCCCATAAGAGCCTCTAAGGTGTCACTATTTTCCCACCCAATCAGAGGTCCATATGGGCTTATATACACCTCAACTATGGAAACAATAATAAAAAGGAATTTAAAAATTAAAAAATAAATGCACTACTCATAAATAAAACAGAATATTTGCAGCAATACTGATATACACAAACATTTCTTTCTGCAGTATATAAATACACACAATGGAATATTATTCAGGTATAAAAAGGAAAGAAATTCTACTGTTTGCAGCAAAATGGACACAGCAAGAGTACATTATGTTAAGCGAGATAAGCTACATCCAGAGAGACAAATAGCTTAGGTTCTCCCTTATGCATGGGAGCTAACATTAAAAATAATAATAAAAAGGAGAAAATAGATTTTAAGTAAGCAAATCTTTTCATGTTCATAATTTGTATACTTTCCTTATGAGAAAAGTAAAAATTTGAGCAAGAGAGGAGAGTGTAACAGACTAGCTATTGCTTTAACACTTTTCTGCAATTCTTTGAACATTTGGAGCCCGCAGCACTTTTCACTTCCTTAATGTTCTTATGCCTCTCCGCTGAAATTTAGCTGCAATAATCAGTTTTCAAAAAGGAGATTGTATTTTGTTTCAAAAATCCTTTTTGATGTTAGAGAACTTTCAGAAAATGAAATTCTATAATGGATCCTACTGACTGGCATATGATTAAAATTGAAAGGATGAGAGTATGAAAAATATCAGTTTAGAATCCCAACATCTCTACCATCTCTACTTGTACTATCCATGCTCTAGCATTCACTAATACACACTTACTTTGGCCCTGCCTTTAAATACAGATTTGAACTTTAAAGACTGGTATTCTGGGTCGGGTATTTGTTCTGCTAGTCAAAGCTTCTGGTTTAAGTCCAGGCTGCGGCATCTGATTCTAGTTATTGTGTCAGTGGTGACCCCAAAAGCAGTGGTGAGGGCTCCCAAAGCTGAAAACCTTTCAACCATCTGAAAGATCTGAACAGAGTTCCCAATCCTCACTTCAAGTCCCTGCCCAGCCTAATACCACTGCAGGTATTTGGGAAGTAAATCAAAAGATGGGTCTCTCTCTCTCTCTCTCTCTCTCTCTCTCTCTCCTCTTACAGTCAGATAAGAGACTTAAATTTTTTAAAAATTAGTATTCTGACAGTTGATGAAAGAAATGTTTGCAGAGCAGGTGTTCCATGCTGCAGTTAAGATACTACTCATGAAATCCATATCCCATTTGGGCAGTAAACCAGGGGATGGAATATTTCTTTGTTTCTCGTATTTGTCTCTTTTTGTCTTTCAAATAAAATTTTTTTAAAAAGCTTTGAAAAGATGCTTCCCACAAAATAGGAGAAATAATACACACAAGACTATATATACATTTCACCAATTTTATTGTGGCTTCATGGACACTGTCTGGGAAAGTAGTATTGAGAAAGCTTATTCTTAGGGTAATAGAATAGAAAGCGAAAGGAGTCTTCAACATCAGCCCCCAGTGGGGTGCTTTGAACACTGCCGCCTGTGTGCCCCAATGGTGTTTTACAAGAAAAGAAAGTGACATCCGTATATAGGAACAATAGCAAACACTTACTTTATAGTTTTCACTAAAAGCAAAGCAAAATATCACGTGAATTTAAAAGGCAAAAGTAGAATAATTTTAAATTGCTACATGCAGGCATAACTCAACAAAGACACTGTTTAAAGGTAAGGTGTATGTCTACACAGAACTTACCATTTTGAAAACTTTGGCAGGAACTGCATGAGTTTGAGTAGCTTCTAGATATTCTGTCCAGGAAAATTTTTCTGGATTAGGATAACCTGAAAAACATGAATATATATAAACTTGTCACTCATTCATTCCCAAATTCTACAAAAAAACTTGGTACCAATAAATACCAGTTATTAATTGAAAGTTCACTATGTAACATAATTTGCCAAGAACACTTCATTTAAGCCTTGTGATAACCTCCAAATTAAGGCATTCCTATACATCAGACTCACCCAACACAATCAAGCAGATTTACCTGGGGCAAATGAGAATATCAGTTCTTGGCAAAGGCAGGTGACACCCAGGAGTCAGACACATGAGCTGCATTAGGAAGCTCCTCAAAATCTGAAGGAGAGAGAGAGAAACAGAGAGAGAGAAACAGAGAGAGAGAAAACAAGAAAGAGGAAAAAGAGAGAGAGGGAGGGTCGAACGGAGGAAGGAAGGAAGGAACGAAGGAACGAAGGAAGGACGGAATGACGGACCTACAACCACCTGACTTCAAGAACTATGAACAGGAAGAGACGGACACTCTGCAATATGTCCAGTAATTCTGTACCTCCTAGTTTTAGTTTTCTACATCACACCTTTGAAATCACAACTTATCCAAAGTACTATTTGCCATTGCAATTTAAAAATATTTTGGATGCAACATGGTATGACACTCAATATTGTTTTTAAACGTGCTTTTAGCCATATTTCTTGACTCTTATATTTGTCTTCATTTATTACTGATTTTATTTGCTAGGGGCCTGTCTATAGTCTGTTGTTTTCTTTATCCTTTCAAGGACTAGCTAGCTACTTAGTTTTACTCAACAGTTCTACTGTTGTACTTCCCAATTGTTTTGTTTGCTGCTTTTGTTTTCATCACTTTATTCTTCCTAATTTCTTCAGGTTTCTGTTATGGAACTTGTTTTGTCACACTGAACTGCGAACATAATTTTCATTTTTTAAACTAAATTACAAACCTTATTAATGCCACTTAATATAGCTTTAGACACCTCACAAACTTTCATAACATGTGGATTTTTCTCACCTTTACTCTATAAAAAACAATTACAATTATATTCTGAAATTATAATTAACTGAGTTACAAACTGTTTAAAAAATATTCAAGGTGGTTAATTAAGGTAGTTATTTTTTCAAGTATTATTAAAATTTAGTCTTCCATCTTACAATTTCAGAATGTCACGTAGAATGTACAAATCCTGCTTGTAAGACTAGAGTACTGCATTTTGATGTAACATACGACCAACAACAAGAAAAATTTAACTGTGTGGGTCAAGATTCAGTACCAAGGTGAACTAATACAATTTAGCTATTTTTTTTAACCAGATTTTTTTTTTTAGTCAAGAGCCTGAGGCAGTGTTTCAAAGTCTCAAAACTAATCAAGTTTGTCTATAGTCATCCAGTATTTCTGATAGGTTTTTTTCTTTTTAATTCACTTTTTATTTGTAGAGCTTTCTGTTTAGAAGAGCCCTGAATTTGTGATTATAAAGCAAATTCAAAATACATTACTGTAGTGCTGGCATGATGGATCAATTGGCTAATCTTCCACCTCCAAGTGCTGGCAGCCTGCAGGGATGCCAGTTTGTGTTCCAGCTGCTTTCCTTCCCATCCAGCCCCTTGCTTATGTCCTGGGAAAGCAGAAGGAACCCTGCAACCATGTGGGAGAGGAGGAGGAAATTCCTGGCTGCTGCTGGCTTCAAATCAGCTCAGCTCGGGCTGCTACGATCATTTTGGGAGTGAACCAGAGGTTGGAAGTTCTTTGTGTCTGTCCTTCGTTCTCTCAGCCTTCATCCCCAGTACGCTTGGCGAGGCCACAAATAGAACTGCAGAGCAAGAGACAGGGCCAGACGACTTCACACAGCTATGCAGCAATACCTCTACAGGGACATTGGAAATGTCAAAAATCTCACTTGAAATAAAAAGAAAATACACCAAAGGAACAGGAGTATACTTTGATCCTTTCATTTCACTCAAAAAAAATCAACTTTTGGCTTCCATTTGGTGGAAAATACTATGATAGTACATAATGTCCATGAAGTTTATTCCTCACACATACCGTGTTTTATAGTGATGAAACTCAGGGAACATGAGAAACTTGCAGGGGCAGAGTTCTCAAGCAGAAACAATGAGATTTAAACAATCAGTTTGGTTCCACCTCCAGAGTCCTAGGACTTCAGAATGATGGCCTAGGCTCCCTGTGCAGGCCAACAAGTCATCGCACTAGGGTGAGGGGACCTGGCTGGGCTGGAGGGCAGGGAGAAAGCACCCAGCTACCCTGAAGATTGGGATAAGGGCTTAAACATGTTCGATCAGAGTGCCCGTATTCTACAGTATTTACAGCTTAAAATTCCGTACAGGAAAAATTAAGTCCAAGATGTAGATTGGTAGCAATAAGGAAAAGTGTCCCAAACGTTTAGACTAGCAACCACAGTGGTAGGGCTATGCTCCCACAGCCCTGGATCTCTCCCTGTGGCACTGGCAACAGCTCCAGTAAAGAAGAGCCAGGTGACAAATGTCTTGAATTAATGCTGGAATGGGATTCAAAGCTATCACACAGCAGCCAATGGAGTGACATTGCAAGTGTTTGGGGAGAAGTTCCTGCGAGTAGCTGAGAATTTTCAAGGAAACAAGAGGGCTATATACTACAGACCCTCCCCGCCAAATAATGTGCCTTCCCTAACCCTATCGTCTGTCTAGCTTTTCTCCATTGCCTGTCACCTCCTAACACACTTAACACATTGTATATTTTTCCCATTTCTTAGTTTCCTTACTTGATTAGACTGTAAGTGGCCTCACAAGAGCAATTTGTTTGCTTCACTAGAATTTCCTCAGGTGTAACACTGCCACTAAGTGTTTGGTGACTATTTATTGAATGAATAAAGCATACTTCTTAAAAAGTGTGCCTGTAATATTGTGGTGACAAAGATGCAACAGAGCAGTTGCAGTCTGGCGTCATGGTCCGGGATAAAATTCCTATAACAGGTAATTTGCCTGCTGGTGCTACCATCAGAAAAAGATGATGCCAGTGCGTTAATGCTGCTAATATCCCAAGTAGTGCTATAGAATGGAAGATGTCCAAAGAAGGCCCTCTGATTTGTGGTGTCCACATAAGCCAAATGTAAAACAAAAAAGCTAACTTAGCTTTGAGATTGGCTGTGGTTTCCTTTGATAAGGGCATCCTTGATTTTCTTCTCTCAAGAAAAGTAGGCTAATTTTGCCACTGGATCACTCTTTCCAAAGAAAAGGGTTATACACGAATAGCATAAGTCCTTATATCCCATATCCCAGGCTTCCTGTTGTGACAACACATCTCATAAGAACCAGGGAAGCACAACAACCATAATTACACTGGAGACCAATCTAGAAACCAAAAATCATAGGTTTTTTAGGAAATCAACTTTCAAATAAGCAAGCGTTAATAAAAAGAGATCTACACAGAATCTTGTAAGAAATTTCAATCAGAGCAGCCAGACTATTGATCATGGATATGCATAGTTCATAGATGTAAAAAGGACACTACATCAGCTCCTATGGTTTGGTGAGGAAAGTGAGGCCTGGCATTTTAAGCACTTTAACCTTGCTAGGACAACAGATAATGAAATCAAACTAAAATCTGTAGACACCAAAACTTCCAGGAATCTACTTTGAGGCTTATCAAGTGCTCTACAGACTTGGTCCCCAAGTGCAGAAGGAAGAAACAACACAGGAGTTCGGTCTAGGGGTTTGTTAGCAGTTAAATCTCACTTGGCTTCTGCCATCATTTTAATATCTATGAAGGGGCCCGGGACACCAGCTGCATCCTCGGCTCCCATAGCTTTCACAAGTAGATGTGAAAATGTGCAGGTCTGACAGTGTCCAGACCATCCAGGCGTAGAGACAACGGAAATTTGGAACCAATGTGAGCTACCCTCTGTGGCTGACTGCACGCACAGAGGGGCTCTGGTGAAAGCCACGTCATCACTCTCACTATCGATGTCATGTGCCGTCTACCCACAGACTAAAGAGACACAACCCAATATCTCCTTTCACCGTTTTTGCATAATCAGGGTTTAGATTTTGCCCTGTTTGGCTTGAAAAATTATGCTAAAATTACCTCTCATTCATAGTAACTTAGATGCCACAAGCCTCAGGCTCACATTCAGTTCATCATAGCAGATGAAGTTAAAATATTTTTTTCAGTTAGATTGCCCAGTTTTTATACAAGGAGGTCAGACTTATGAGGTAATTATCCATCCACCTCAAAACATATGGAAAACTCTACCATCCACAGCATGGTGAACCAGTGCCTCAGGGACTTGTCAGAGAGTTCATTTTGTAATTGATTGCTTTGCTCCAAGTATGGTTGACCTGTAGTACATCAAGAATACAGTAGGCATAGAAATAAACTCTTTCCTGTGTCTACTGAAATACGCAGAAAAAGAAACCATCTGTACTGCACTAGCTGAACCCTAGCAGAAATGTCTTCAAGAAAACCATGGCTCTCTCAAACCTAATCCAAACCAGTGTTTCGTAAATGACGGTCATTCATGATACGGCCACTCCATGGTCAGCTTCCAGGTGAAAATATGAAAACAACTTAAAAATTTTAGCTACATTCTCTTTTAAATGCCATCAAAATGCCAGAGTTTTTTCAAATGAATGATTGTTAAGGGAGAAAATACCAAAACTAATTTTGATACAACATATCGCGCAATGTTATATAATCATTTTGAAGAAATATTGAAAACTACAACAGATGAGTTGGAACAGATTTACTGTAGGTACATAGAAAAGTATGTACCAAACATAATCAAATTTTATACTACAGAGAATAACAAAAAGGACATGGGTTCATGAATATACAGTATATTACTCTGCACAAGTACACACACACACACACACACACACACACACACACACTCATCTGCAATTATGGAAATTGAGAAAGGATGAAGAGAATCTTCTCTTCCTCTTCAGCAAATAGCTAAACTGGATTTCCTAAGATCCTGTGCAACTAGATGCAGTCCTATAATTGAGCTTTGGCCAATACATGACAATAATCTAC